GTGAGCTGGTCCAGGACCTGGCGCAGCCCGTTGATGTCGGCCTCGACGCTCTGGCGAAGGGCCAGCTCCGTCTCGTACCTAACGAGGGGCAAGAACGAGCAGTCAGTGTTTGGCTCTAGCATTTTGCTCTTTTTTTGATGTGACAGCACCTTGATTCAGTCTTTCTTAAGCTCGTTTCCTAACTGGCCTGACAAGATGCTAAGGTCCTGAGGCTTAGTCCATCAACACTTTCCTTCGGTCAGCTTTCTACAGAGCTTTCTACAGAACCACAGAACAACTGTGGCCAAGGCGAAACTCCCCGGGTTTCGGTGTTCCAACAAGAAATAAATAAACCCTTCTAGGTGAGAAGCACCTTGTGCCAGGGCATTGGCTCAGGGGCACCTGCTCCGCGCCCCACCGTGGTCCCCAGATGCCCTTGAAGAGCTGCGGGTACTCACTTCACTCGGAAGTCATCGGCCGTCATCCTGCTGTTGTCGATGTTCAGGATGATCTTGTTGTTGTCTATGGTTGCACAGACAATCTGGAAAACAGCAGGTTATGGCGTGAGTCTCCGCTCTGTGTCCTCACGTTGGCCCGTGCTACAAAACCTGCCTCTTTCTCTCTTTTTTTCACTTTTTTTTCTGCTCTTGCGGAGGTCAGAAGCACGGCAGCCCCGGGCAAGTGGAGCCCAGTGGGGCGCATTAAAATGCCAGCATACATGTTTCAAACAGAGACAGTTATGGAAGGGTAATTAGTGCTGTTAGTGCCTGCCGAGATCCACCAAAGGTTTTAAATGTAAATTGTGTGTTCCTAGATAGAGCATGCAAGGCTTTGTTTCGAGACTTAATTAGGGATCTGTCTCATTCTGTCCGCTGTTTGCAGGATTCTTCATTCCTTTTTAATGCATTGGTACCCCAATTTTTTTTCCCTAATGCAATTTTGAAAAAAAAAAAAAAAGAGTTTTACATTCCATATCCCATATGCATTAGGATAATGCTCTCTTTTCTCTTTTTTTTTTATCTAGATGTTGAGTATTTCTAGCTCTACATAAAAGAGTAAAGGGTTTTTTCTTTAAAAAATATAGTAATTAGCTGGAATTCTGCAAGACTGATGGCAGAATACAATAAATACAGACAAGTGAATATGATTCCTTATTTATTTGTAATTTAGTTGCTCTTTTGGCATACAGCTATTTAAGCATATTGGCACAAGGCTAATTCAGAAAGACCGCTGAGCTGGTCCAGATGCGTTCTGTGCACATAACATTTTCCCCATCAAATAAATCTGATGCACGAAAGCATTGGAAACAGTCCAAACACTCGTAGTGAGATCTAGGGCTTCCTGTAGGCAGTTGCCTTAACGTATGTTTAGCGAAGGCATTTTGCAATAATGAAACGGGGCTCTGGAAGGCGCGGGGCTGTGCAACAGCCCTGTGGGAGAAGCTTGCGAGGGAGAAAGCAGCTAGAAATGCCATTACCTGGTTTTGGAGATCTTCTATCTCTTTGTAGTAGCAGCTGTAGTCCCGGGGCTCGCAGAAGGGGCCCTGCTTGGCATACCACTCCCTGATCCTGCACTCCAGGTCAGCGTTTTCTTGTTCCAGGCACCTCACCTTGTCCAGGTAAGAAGCCAGGCGGTCGTTAAGGTTCTGCATGGTCACTTTCTCGTCACCAGAAAGCAGGATGCCATCACCAGAAAAGCCACCTCCAACTACCCCACCACCGAGGCCCATGCCACCGCCAATGCCACCGCCAAAGCGGACACTGCCACCGCTGAATCCGATGCCTGAGCACCCTCCGAGGACGCCAGCTCCTAGGCTGCCTCCGTAGTTTCCACCGACCAAGCTGCCAGTGCTCAGTCCTCCTCCATAATTCACCCCACCACAGTAGCTCCTGCCAGAAAACCCTCTGCTACCACCTATCCCGCAGGTCGTGTATCTTCCAGAAGAGACGGAGGAGATGCGAGCTCCTCCACCACCACCACCGCCACCGATAACACAGCTGCCACCACTGGTTCTGCCCCTCAGAGAGCCAGTTGTCTGCTTAATGCTACAACTCATGTTGAGGACAGCTGCAGCTCCAGCCCAAAGCCCAAAGCAAGATGCACAGCTTGATATTGAATCAGACTGCAGGTTCTCGGCTGCCACAGATCTCTATTTATACCTTCCAGAGGGGGTGTCGCCTATAGGGTGTTTCTTCTTCCCACGGGGCTGGCTAGTCTTGTTGTTTATGCCAAGAATAAATAGCCCATAGGCAGTTTCCCTCTAGAAATCCCAGTTCACAAGGAAGATACTTTACATGTCAGCAGCTTATTCCAAAAAATAAAATAATATTTTATGAGTCATCAGCTTTTTGTATGATGCAAACTTTACAACAAGTCCAGAAAAAAAGTTGCCCTAGATTATGCACAAAGAAGCAACTTTGGTATTTATAACATCAAAGTGCCTTTTATCTTTTATTAATTTGGATTTATTTTACTCTCAGTCTAATAAACATTTTTGCATCACATGCTGTGTTAGAGTATGTAGAATAAAAATGGAAAATTACTATAAATTCTTATTTCTGCGAGACATGGAGAATAGGGGGTGTAGCAGTGAGAAGAGCAGTGACACGGTGGTGTAGGCATCACTAGGCTCTATTGCAGGCACACAGTCTAATGCAGGCTTTGCTGTGAGATGTCCTAAGTCACCGAGGTGGAACCCCAGTGATGCGTGATTCTCCGTGATGCGCCTACAAAGCAGTGACTTGCTCAGACTTTGGGAAGTGAGTCCCGTTGATCCTTGTGTCTGGGTGTCACAGGGGCTCCGCGCAGCTAAAGCGGGTCAAGCGCTTCTCGGAAATTATTTTTCACTTAACTATAATTGCTTTCCTTGCTGCCTCAATTTGCGGTCACCGTAGATAAGGAGGTGATGGGAAAGGGAGTGGCCATGGGTGGTTTGTCCACCGATGGACAGTGATGTGATGCAGCACGCTTGTGTCATTGGTAGCACCGAGGTTGTGTTGAGCATGAAATGGAAAGCAGAAGGGCTCTCCACGTTTCCTAACCGAGATGGTCAGAGGAACGGCAGGGATTAATGCAGTCTGTCAGGATGGCAGGACCGTCTCCAGAGCAGGCGAGCCATGCGCGGAAGAGGATTCAGGGAACTGGCTTAGCCGGTGGAGGTATCTTTCTGCAGAGGACAACCATAATGAGAGGCCACTGTGCTCTACAGGGAACGACGGCCCGTGTTCCCTCCAGGGGGGAATTTCCAAGCACCTCTTACTCCCAAGTCACCTTTGACTCCTGCGTGTCCAAATGCGAAGCTGCAGGAGAAGTTGTGATAGAGGCAGTTTTGTGGTGGGCGCCACAGTTGTCACAGCCCCGACAGTTTCTCCCAGGTCATGGGAGATGGGCAGGGAAACCCTCTCCTTTTCGGCTGTGAAAGCAGTTGGGTGGCTTCTGTCACCGTTGTAGTAGAATGTCCAAGACCTTGTGTAAATCCGATCGTCTCACCAACAAAAGTTAGGACTGTCTTGTCTCCAGTGGGGTAATTTGTTTATTTAGATCAAAAAATGATAAAAAGGTGCCTACACAAGGCTGGCAGCATCCTGGAATATTCATTATTCCTATGTGCAGGGAAACAACTTGCTGAAGGACTCAGCCGGAGCTCAGGCTCCTGACTGGGACGGCAGTGCCTGAAAAACAAGTCCCTCATCCCCCAGGAGACACATCCCCCTCCCCGACCTGGCATGGGCTCACAGTAGTTAAAATCATGAGAAAAAAAAAAGGAGAATAGAGGCTAAATCTGACTTTCATCATTCGGTTTGAGGAATATAATTGGAGACAGGGTGTGGCTTTGAGAGGCAACAGAAATTAATATAATGTCTGGCTTGCTTGGAGCTCTGCTGTGTAGGTTTGCAGAAGAAAAGAGCTAGCAGCGACTGCGGAGAGCAGTGCTGGGTGCTGAGCTGCCTTTCCTGCCCTCCCCGTGTCTCGGGCTGGTTCTACACGGGCGGGCCAAGCACTGTCTTCTTGTAGCAGATACCTGACGGCAGAGGGAACGGGCCTTGCTCCACAAAATCTTCATCTGAGCATTGACCAGTCTCATAGGTATGACCTAGCTCAGAGGTCTACAGGCTACAGAGTCCCATATTACCAGCAAAGAGTAGAAACAACCCTACAGCTCTTGCAGATCTCCATATGAGGATGAACTCCTTTACTGTGAGGGTGACAGAGCACTGGAACAGGCTGCCCAGAGAGATTGTGGAATCTCTTTCTTTGGAGATCTTCCAAACCCATCTGGATGCCGCCCTGTGCCACCTGCTGTAGCGTCCCTGCTGGAGCAGGGGGCTTGGACTGGATGGTCTCTAGAGGTCCCTTCCAACCCCAACCACCCTGATTCTGTGATTATGGCAGAGAAGAGGCAGACCTGAGGTGCATGAAGGGCAAGATGGGTAAATCCTGCCATGCAGCAAAGAGCAGCTCATTTCCTTCTCTGGAGGTCTTCAAAACCCACCTGGACGCCACTGTGTGCCCCGTGCTCTGGGTGTCCATGCTGGAGCAGGAAGTTTGGACTAGATGATCCCTAGGGGTCCCTTCCAACATTGAACACTCTGTGATTCTTTGACTTTCAGGTGCCGCCGTGGGCAGCAGCACCCGCTCCGAGGGCACTGGGACAGTCACAGCGTCGGGCGCCTCGGCGGTGTCAGCCCATCTCCCCAGCGCTCGCCTTGTTCTGCTTATCGGGCTTGACGAGATAATCTTTCCTTGTGTCACTACAAGCGGGGAGTGCCTCATCCGACAGCGCTCTGCTTTCACAAGCGTTGCTTCAGTGATGTTTGTGCAACCGCACACTGCAACGTGATTTTATCTTGTCACTTGTAATTACTAGTAGTCGTTTGCATAATAGCTGCCAGGCATCACTTATTAAACGCTACTTTGATGTGATACCGCGCCGGCTCCAGACCTCATGCGCCCAACTTCCAAATGCAGACCATGGTGTTTTCTGGCTGGTGACTCACTGGTTTGTACCACCACACTTAGCAGGATTCCTGTAAGGCAAGCGAAACAATTACCGCAGCGAATTTGCCAGCAACATGATCCTAGCTCTTAAGTACGCCTCTGAGAACAAGGTGATTACTCGGCTTCAATTCCTTTTTTGCTGACTGTTCTCCTCTTCTTTTCCTGAACATTTGCAGGGGATGCAGCAGCAGTTCAGCAGCACATGGAGATGGGCAGGAGCTGGTTTCTTCCTGCTGGAGCTCACAGCATATTCCTTGATTCATTTGGAGAAGGGTTCTAGTTTCCTCGCGGTGCTGCATCCAGGCTTGCAGCATTTGCATCCCTGGGAGCACTGCCCATTTCCAGGGCAGAAGCCCAAGGGAACGTGTGTTGGAGGGCAGAGGGGAGCACGGATGGGACCAAAGCTGCAGCAGCTTCACTCTGACTTGCTTATGGTAGTAATTCATTCACATTTAGTTCTTTACAAATATTACACAAGCCAGTACACAAGCCAAACACGGTTACTGTGGGTGTGAGTGAGACTGTTCTGGTATGTCTGCTTCATAAAATCAGATTTAATAGAAAAAACATAGTTTACACAGCACATCAAGACATATCCTAGTATTAGAAATGTGCAATGCTTGTAATTATGTGTGATTGCTTGTTCAGTGCAGTGCTTAATTCCTGGCTGATCTCCAGCGTTAGCAGCGCAAGATTGGCTGGTTTCTGCCTGTTTCTTCACTGGTGACTTAAGCCTCTGATCAGGTCATTGCTCGGGGATCTTTTCGGATGGTTCCCTAGTTTGGGTGCTCCTCCGTCCCGCTCAGCAGAGGCAGCCTCAGCCACGCTGAGCTCCTGCTCGCCCTGGTGCTCCTGATGTGGCCCCTGTGCTTCGGCACCCACGTGTGGAGCCTCCTCTGCTCGCTGGGCACCCTCGGCCTCCCTGTACGTCCTCCCAGCCTTGCACCTCAAGCTCTACCTCTCTTTGAGGTGCTCGTTCGCTCTCTCTTTCTCAGCCTTGCACATTAAACAGAAAACAAGCCCGGGCCGGACACGCTGCGGGAGGGCTGCGCGCTTGGCGCACGCTGCAAGTTGGCCTGGAGGAGAACGGTGTGTCCCCGGGCTGCTTGTCCCTCGTTCCACACGCTGCATCCTCTGCATTTCGTTCAGCTTCTCTTTGCCTTTGCCTTTACAGTTTCCACAGTCAATTCACATCGCTCTCTGATTCTGAACTCCCTGGGCAGTGACAACATCTATGTTGGACCTGAGTCCAGTATATTTATATCAGGTCCACTCTATATTGGACCTGTGCGCTCATCAAACCCCGGCAAAGGTTTTGTTATAGAAAGAGGCTAATTAAGCCCCGTGATGAGGAGCTGCTGGTGGGGGCAGAGGGGCCTTTCCTGCCTGAGCCGCCGGACGCGCCGGAGCTCCCGGACCGGCAGGTCCCTTCCCCGCGGTGCCGCACGGTGCCACCGCTCCCTGGGCTGATTGCTGCAGCTTACTCTGTAAAAATTCTCTCCCACATTTTAATTCATCTTGTCCTTTTATCCTCCCACGTGTTGCCAGCTGGTTATTCCTGCTCAACTTTGTTTTTTTAATCCATGCCAATGCTCCTTATTTAGCGTTTTCCCTGGGAACTGTTTTGCTCCACCAGGAGCCATATCGGATCCGGCAGAGCCTTGTTTTCAAAATATGCTCTCATCTTACTGGGGAAAACTTTTTCTCCTTGACTTTTCCAGGTTCTACGGGACTATGTTATGTTCTGTTAAACACACACACCTGCTTAATTAAACTCGTTTTCCCTCAGGAGTCTCCTTCAGTGCAAGACAGTCCCTCGGAGCCTCGCGGCTCCATCCTGGGCACAATCGCAGCTCCCTCAGCCTCTCCTTGCCCGTCGCTCCCGGCTTCCCGCCCCGCTCCCGCTCCCCTCTCCTTCCCACTCCTTGCTCCGGCAGCCAGCAGGGATCGGAGCGCGGCTCCGACTTCTCCATTTCCCATTGCTTTGGGAAGCTCCAGCTTCAAGGGTATTTCTAGCCAAAACTGCATGAGAAAGGTAACTATCTGGGCAACAATCTCTGTAATACTTGTGTAACAGTTTATGTGTAGAAATCGTTTCCAGGCACAGGGTTTATTAGGGAAGAGCTTTGGTAGCTGTAGGGGACCGGCGCGGCAGCGATCGCCGAACGGCCGGGCACAGGCGGTGGAAGGGCTCCTCCTTGCCTCGCTGTTCCCAGTTTGCTCGCAGCGCCTGCTCCTCTTGCCAGCCAAGCTGCAGACTGCGGGCACTGGTGCCCCTGGTGTGCGGTGGCCTCGCGGCACCGTCCTTGCCCCCAGGGACCGAGGGCTGCCCCAGGCTGCATGGTAGCCCCGCGCGCTCCCCTTCCCACGGGTCCCCTGTGGCAAGGGGACAGCTCCGCTCACCCAGGACCAGGAGCTGAACGGGCACTGCCGGGCTCGGGCACAGCGCGTCCTCCTGCCCCGCTGCCCTTCCCCTGCAGCCCCCGTGCCCCTCGCAGCCCCGCGTGAGCAGGGGTGCCCTGTTCCCCTGCCAGCACAGGGGCACGGAGGCCACCGCGTGTCCCTGCCCCTAACGTGCCTCTTTTCCCCACGTGTCGGAGCAAGTCGGGGGCTCCGGCCGCTCTTAGGGGCATGTGGCCATCGACGGGCTGAGCAGCAGGTCTCACCGCTTACAAATCTCAGGCAGTGGGAAGAGCCAAGTGCTTTGCATACAAATTAAATTTCCCCAAGCTTTAATTAAAATCCTTGTGCGAGACTGAAAATGTTTAGATAATTTATTGTTTCGGTTAATTGAAGCGCCAGTCCCTAATCCTGTCTAGCAGTGGCAAAGGCAATAAAACGTAGTTAAATGCCACTTTTCATAGCAGACCTTGCCCAGCAGCCTCTGATGAGCCACCTGGCCGCCCAGGGCCCTTTGCTGCCCACACAGGGAAGGGTCCTGGTTGCACCCTGGATGTCTATCATCAGAGGCAAGTTTTCGGTGCTCATGATCTGCTAATGAGCCCTGTCTAGTCGCAGGTCAGTACTGGTTCCTCAGCAGCCGCTGTCTCTAAACTGGCCCATTTCCCTATCTCGGCAACTGGGAGCGGGGAGGCCTCCCTAGGCGCGGGCCTATTTGCGGTCTGTGTACGCCAGGTCCTGCTGGCCTCCCTCCAGCAGGCAGTGGTAGGTCTGGATCTCCTGCTCCAGGCGGCACTTGACGTCCAGGAGGGTCTTGTACTCCTGGTTCTGACACTCCATCTCCGTGCG